AATTCCTTTTTCATGTCAATGCCAGCTTCATAATAGGTCTTTCCCATTCATTACTCCAGCTCTACCTAATTCTTTTTCGAATATTATTGTTTCTCAATAGTTTTGAAAGGTGAACAAAATTGGTTCAACTACCTTATGATAAGAAATCTCATAGTGCTCGGAATTCCTCCATGTATATTTCTTCATACGAACAACTCATGATTTCAGCTGCCAATTCAAAATTCCATATGGCTCGTCCAGGTATATCCCTCCGAAGGAATTATCCTCATTGCTGAAATAACTTCCAGCGGTTGTCCCTTTTCACATTGTTGGATGATCAATTCTTCAGAATTGCTGTTGGCCTCCGTCTGGGTACAAGAATCTGTGCAAGTTACCAATGGAAATTTGGCTCCGCTGTCGAAGGGAATGGAACCCATGGATAGAGCTGCAAATTCAGTTCTGGTAGTTTCCCTAAGACATCACGTCATAAACGACATGATTGAACGAGCACTGATGACTGCAGAACCATCAGTTTGGAATCATGTTGAAATAAGCAGATACCATGGAAAGCGTCCAGATAAAATGGCCTTATTTCATGGAAATTTGAAAAAAAAACCTGCAGAATGAACGTGAATATTCAAATCTGGGAGAGTTATATTTTTTGTTCTACCCAATCGCAATTGAAACATACGATGAGCGTTTGGAACTGAAGCATCATTTCTTCTGGAACCGTTCGAAAAAAGAATGAGAAAACTGTCTGATGACCTTAGAGCTCAAACATCCCTGATAAAAAGGACCAGTATCAGTATTTCAGAGAGGAAATGCTATACTCCAAAGAGTCTAGATGTAATCTTCCTTTTACTGATGATCTCAAAATATCGAAAACTTTATAGCACTGCTTACAACATCATTAGAGATTTTCCAGTCTTTCCATATACGATTCACGAATATGCCGACATAACTACACCTGGCGCACTCAGTTCACATTATTCCAATCCTAGACAATAAGTGAGAGTTTCTGTTTACAATGAGTATGTGAATATAAATGCATCAGATCAGACTGTGAATACAGAGCCTTATTCTATTCCATTGGTCCTGATTATTACGAAATCAGCGAGTAGGTATTTGATTTCGTATGACTTGGAGAAAAACTATCAAAATTTACTGAATTGAAGCAACTATTGCTGAATCAATTCAATACTCCAAGCACTCATTGCTTGGCAACCATTTTTCAATTCAATTATCGGACTGATACAAGGAATATCATCGAATGAAAATATAAATTCTTCTCCATATATTGATGGAATGTGTCGCTCAGCTAGACAATTCAAACCTCTACCGCCGGTGAATAAAACTACATGAACTTATTCGACAAGATGGCCACGAAACAAGACGGTCCCGTTCGAGCCGACGTGGATCTACTAGATGTTGGCTAGTTTCCAAACGAACCTGATTGAGGGCAGGTACAATAATGTGGAAGAATTCTTCGAATTCCTACTGAACTGCCTCAACAACAAGATGATCGAATTTATGAAACCCGTTTTGAAATCAAAGACTTCGAGGAGACGCCAATTCGTGATCTTTTCGGCCGTTTATGGAGACCAAAAATCTAACGAACTGGAGATATTACCCTGGGAACATTCAACTGTTCCTGGCCCTTCAATTGAATATCGAGAATGTGAAAACGCTTGAAGAGGCTATGAAAACACTGGTAACTAAGGAACGGCTGAAATGATCGACCTCTTCTGAAACGAACAAACTCGTTGAGGTGTGGCAGCAATTGATGTTGGATGTTCGCCAGTCATTCTGATTCTGTTTGAACTACAAACCTGGCGGTAGGAACTAGATCATCAAGCCACTGCAATTCCTGGTAGACCTAAAAATTTAATCGAGGCTACTATCTTCATTGACGCAATCGCCCAAAGGAAGGCAGTATATGTTGTTCGCCGTTGTCTATCATGTTTGCGATGAGGCCGCCAGGGGCCGCTTTCTTACGAATGCCTTTCAAGTGTAATACAGCTGCTGGTTGCGCTTCGATGATGCCGCCCTCAGGAGAGTCTCTGAGCAGTAGGTTTTGGGGCCACAGGGCACACAGGTGCCCTATTTCAGATACTACAGGCTAAGAGACACCATTTGCAGCAATTGACGTGTGGGATGTGATTTTGTTTTCTGTTGATTGTTGTTGGGGCCAGGTAGCCGTGCGGACAGAGTGTCCATATTCTAATCCGCATTCGCTTGCCGGTCGTGGGTTCGAGTCCCGTCGACTGCAGAAATTATTCTGATGGCCCAAGAAGGTGTTTGGGATCACACGTTAAAAGGTGAGGCCCCCGTCATTACTTGCTCGCACAAGACTTTCGAAGACTTCTGAGGGTTGCTCGTAAGGGGGCAACCGAATGACGGATAGAACAATTTTACGATTTTACAATTTTTACATGGTTCTCACTGCACGAGAGTGGAAAAACATTGTCGGATGAAAGTATTTATCATTGTTGAATTAATTGAAGAACAAGGTTGGTATTAAAATGTTTATAATGAATTGAATGAACGAATGATGAACTCTCATCTGAATCAATGCATACAATGATTAGCTAACAACCATAATATATTATTTAATTCTGAATATCATCTGTTTCAATCCAATAGGTACATATAAGAGGAAGTAAACTTGGGAGGAGAAATAAAAAATCAGTAAGTAGGCCTTTCATCAGTGGAATAATGGTTGTGAATGATGACAATCATGTGACATTACCTTCCACAAGTACAGCCGATCAATCTCTGGGAGTTGATCGATGTCTCGATCAATGAGTTTAAAGTTCTGGAGATTTGTCTGAATGAATCATCAGGTGCAACAACTTCTCAATTTCATTGTTGCAGGTTTCAGAAGTATCGAGAATAGAGGGATATACATACATACAGTTATGGTATAATTCATGACTCAATGAAACAGCTACATCCTTCACATTGTACGGAAGCAAGAAGAAGCTATGTTTCGAGGACACAACGATGTGGAGAGTAATACTTCCTGACGTTCGTGAGTATATTTCACACTCATTGTAATATAAGAGCTATGTTTCAATCAATATACCAATCTCAAATCGATCTGCCATATATTCTGGTTGCAGGATCTCTGGAATACTTTAGTGATCAGAAGCAAAATAAGGAGGCTTTGCAGAAGTTCTTCAGCCGAGCCAAGGAGAGAATTTGAGAGAGAAAGTTAATGCCATGCCTGCAACAAGCGCAATAAACTGAAATGATGTTCTAACCATTCTCAGCTGATTGGTCTAATCTTATTTCACTTCTTCTTATATCGTCTCATGAAATGAGTTATTTTTAGTTTTCATTAGATGATCAAAGTTCTTGTTAATCTTTTGCATGTAGAATTAGGCAGTTGAATCATGTTCCTGACAATTTCATCATCAGCCTCAACGATGAACCTTTCAGAACCATCCTCGATTCCTCAAATTTCAATGGTTGAAAACACTCTTCACCGGACACTGGGGCGTTCTTCCAATTCACATAAACTTCAAATGAAATACAGTATAATCAGCAGACCAATACCAACGTTTCGCAAATCACCCCTCATTCAATTCCGACATGATTTCATTAGCCGATTATTTCAAATAGTTCTTGCGGAATAACGAAGGATGATTCAAGTGAGATGAAACAATTCACAGAGTGTGAATATTCAAGAATTCTTTCAGCAATTTGGAATATTAAAGTATTCGCTCAACTGATTTTCGTGAAATTGTGTTTATTGTTGTGATGAGATCAAAATATACCTTACATCAATGCAATAAAATCAAGTGATCTCCAACCCCACGTTTCATAGTCCAAAATATTTATAATTCAAATAAAAGCTGGTCTGGTTCTAATTATTATATCTAGAGATTTCTGGGAATGATTTTTTTTTCTAGAAGAACTCATTGTTGTTCTGCTCAGAAGAACATCTGTGTATTTTTGTGACGAGTGTAGTTTTTCTGTTTCAGAAGAGTGAGAATGTCAGACGTACTTGCCCACGATCTCCAACATTTCGACAATGATCACAAGCATATTAACTGACGAATGCGAAAAAGATGGTTCAGCATTGATATACCACGTGCCTATTCAGCTTTCATGAGATTGTTACGATGTGATCATAAGGAAATATACATATATGAATATTCCAATGAAGATTCTAGTAGTGATTGTATCATTCAATTCTATTCATATTCCTCAAAGTCGCACGATGTCGATTTCCCATAAAGCCTAATTTCCACGATACTCAATTCCAACTGTTATGTCAGCTTCCACCTGTGATATTTGTATTTCTACTTCATTGTATGTACCTATGTATCTAAACTGCTCCACATTTGAAGTGAGACAAGCGAACATTTTGTTTGTTTTCGAACCGTGGTAACTTTGGATGAGATCAACCGATTTTTGATTAGTTTTGAGTTTGTGATTGTGATCTTGATGAATCCGAAACCATTTTGAGGAAACACATTAGGCTTCATGTTTTTGCCGTCAGAAAAATTTTAAAAAAATTATCCTGCTAACGGGGCGACCTCAAACTTTTCGGAAATTATCACACTTTCAGATATCATCCTGTAGGTCATAATTCTGAAATGGTGAAGAAACGTAAAAAAAAATATGTTATAGCCAATCAACTGGGCAATCACAATCTCAAAACTAATCAAAGATCGGTTGATCTCATCCAAAGTTATCACGGTTCGAAAACAAACAAAATGTTCGCTTGTCTCACTTCAAATGTGGAGCAGTTTATTATGATAATGTTTCATGACTTTTCCATCATCATGTAACAGTGATCGAAATATAATGAATATTTTATCATTAAAATCATTATCATTTCTGAGGAAAACTGAGGATGAAAACCTAGGTGCCGAAATACGTTTCTAGGTTTCTTCGAATAATGTGGTATTCCGAGTATATTTTTCATTTGACAGTGAAAATTTTTATGATTGAATTTCAGGATTAACACGATATTTTTATAATCAATAAAAAAAGCGAAATTTGCCATCAGGTATCGAAGTTGAATTATCAAGTCACTAAAAAATCGAACGTTGTTTTAATGGAACTGGGTTACAAGTGATTCTAAGCAATAACAATATCAGAACAGGACCGGAAATGCTCTTGAGGTCCACATCCTGGACGCCATACTTGATCATCACACACTCCCCAGCTGTTACCTGAAAATTATAAAGATGGTCATATTCATCGATATTATAATTGGAATGAGTGGGTACATATTCAATATGCCAATGAGAACAATAGGATGGCAACAAGAATTAGATGAAAAATGAAATAAATATTGATAATATACAACGATGTGTCGATACTATGATATATAGTGAATTGTTCATATTTTGAAATCGGATTGTGGTATAAACAATTGATAATTGCGTTCAATTAGTGTCCATAATCACTGTTTCCCATCGTAAAAATAACTTCTTGGTGGAAAAGAAGATCTATTTTGGAATATTTAACAGAAAACAGTTGGTTAGTCGACCAAAAATCACATAGGTACCTGTGTGTTAGAGATGCCCTCTTGTATCATGGATATAGTTATTTTTCGGTGATTCAAATATTTTGATCGAAAATATTTTCATAAATTCAGTTCCTACTGATTTGAGATAATGATATATGAAATAGTTATTCGAATGCCTAGGTCGCGAAATATTTTTTGGCGTGCCCAAAGAAACTTCGTCGCCGTGGCCGAGGCAAGATCTTGAGATCGCCATAAAGTTTTGCCTCCATAGTATGTATACGCACTATTTTCCGTAAATAGGGGCATTTATTTCCAGTCCCACTAGTTGTCGTCACTTGAAAGTGAAGTCAATGTCGGAGTCAAAAATTCAAAAATCAAGAATAGAAAACCTAAAGTTATGGTGATACTTCGGCAGACTAACGTATTGTCACCCTTAATGTGGAACCTTATGACCAATTCTTACATTGACAGAAAAGAAGATATCGTAATATCATTTCAATCAATATTATAATCTTAAATCAATCTGCAACATATTCTGGATGCAGGATCTTTCAAATACTTGAGTGATCAAAAGCAAAATGAGGAGGCTTTGCAGAAGTTTTTCAGCCGAGCCAAGGAGAGAAATTTGGGAGAAAAAGTCAATGCAATGCCTGCAACAAGAGCAATACACTGAAATGATGTTCTAACCATTCTCAGCTGATTGATCTAATCTTATTTCACTTTCTCTTATATCATTTGATAAAATGAGTTTTTGTTAGTTTCCATAGGATGATCGAAGCTCTTGTTTCTTTCTTATTATTCAACATATCATGTGATATTCAGTATTTCTTATAAGAATGATCATCTCATATTTATATCAATAGCGATGTATACATATTTCTGTTTACATCAAATTCTCTAGATAGGTACCTATGTAATATATATGAATTTCTATTCCGTGAATTTATTTCCAATTCAATTGAGAAAATTTGCTTCCGATCACGTTCAGGAGATGTACCTCATGTATTCGAGGAATATCTTTCGTTCGGTTCATCACAGTGGAGTGGGATGTCCCTGGGATATCTCTAGGAATTTCTATGTTCCAACACAGAACATCCCAAGGAAGTCCTCGTAGAAAATGAAGGACGTCCCTGGGACGTACAAGGGGCGAACTTGTATCGTTAGGGACCCTGCACATGACTCATTACTCGGCACTCAACAGTAACTGATATGCCTGATATATATGACTGAATACTTGAGCTTCATGTATGACAGAAAACTTGTATGTAATGCTACAAGAATACAGGAACAACTCTCCACATCTTATGCAACTGTGAGGATCCGGGCCACAGGAGATATTTATTATATATTAGGACTGACATCAATCATAAACCTACTTAGACAGGTATAATTCATATCTTTACTTGGACAACCAGAAAGGCTGCAGACTCATATACAACCCATAAACAATAAGCTGATAAAGGGCTTAACAGTTGGATTGACTATCCCTCACTCAAAATCTCCAGCTATTCAATAGTATATTACACACCGATGTGGGAAATGATTCATTCCCGTCGTGAGATTAGTTAGTTAACCGAGACGCAAAGCGTCGAGGTTAGCTATAATCTCGAGACAGGAATGAAACTCCCTACCGAGGTTCGTATACTATTTTATTTACAACCATCATATTTGGATCAAAATTAATGAATCTATGTTTCGTTCTGAACATACCTGAATTATTGTGAGGGCGGGAAGTAGAGGTGTGTAATGAATGAGATACTTCCCAACCTTCATTGACGTTAGTAATGACAACATTACATATATGGTTGAAAATAAAAATCTAATCTTACCACATTTGTATGTCCATCTGAGTACACATCTTTCGCATGTAGAATTGGGCAGTTGAATTCTATTCCTGACAATTTCATCATCAGCCTCAACGATGAACCTTTCAGAACCATCCTCGAACTTCAATGGTTGAAAACACTCTTCACCGGACTCGGGGGCGTTAGGATCTTCCAATTCACATAAACTTCAAATGAAATACAGTATTACCAGCAGACCAATACCGACGTTCCGCAAATCATCATTCATTCAATTCCGATATGATTTCAATAGCCGATTATTTCAAATAGTTCTTGCGGAATAACGAAGGATGATTCAAGTGAGATATACCACTTTACAGAGTTTGAATATTCAAGAGTTTTTTTCAGCAATTCGGAATATTACAGTATTCGCTCAACTGATGTTTGTGAAATTGTGTTCATTGTTGTGATGAGATCAAAATTTATTCATTCATTTATCTATTTATTGACCTCATTACAAACACCGATAGGTAATTACAGGTAATGGTAGTATACAGAAGACATTAACAACATTACAAATACGCAACTAAACTCTTAACTAGGTAAGGCACAAGCAATCACAGACAGGAAATCTGTGATAGTTTCACACGTCATATTTTTTTTAGCTCCCTCACGTTTCTGTTAAATATATCTATGTGTGTTTGCTTGAGCTCTTGATTGCATATTGATAATATTCCATTTATTGGTGATGTGCTGACTAGATCTACCCTGAAAATAACATATAATTTCTGATTCTCAAATTGATTTTGGGAACGTTTATGTCTATATACTTGATTGAATCACAGTCTTTGTACTTTACATAATTCAATAGATAGTATATGAATAGCACTGCCTGTTTATTTCTTCTGTCCAACAGACTCGTGAAAACAAATGTTTTCAGCATGTACTCATATGGGACCATATATGGGTAAAAATTGTTTTTCCTAACATAACGGTATCGTAAGAAACTCTCCTGCACTTTCTCAATGTGGTCTACATGTGTGTGTGCTGGAGGCATCCAGATTTGCGCTGCATAATCTGAATGTGGTCTCACTGTATGAAAGAGTCTTATCATTGTTTCAAATTCGAAAGATTTACTATTTCTTATGATAAAACCCAACGATTTGGATGCCTTATTGACTATATTGTTCTGATGTGAATTGAACTTCATATCACTCTGTAATGTGACTTCTAGATCATTGATTTCGTTCCGTGGTTCCAGTTCTTCATCATCAATTATATAGTTATATTTAATGATGTTTGTTTTCCGTGTGAAGGTCATAACGGAGCACTTTTTTATATTTATTGACATTTTGTTAGCCTCAAACCAATGACTGACATTGTTTATATCTGCCTGTAATGAGATAAAATCCTGTGAAGTGGATATTGTTTTGAAGAATTTGAAATCATCAGCGAAGAGCAATCCCGTCGATCCAGAAAGGCAATCAGGAAGGGAGTTGATGAATAGAGTGAATAATAATCTAGGGTACTACCTTACGGCACTCCTGAGGTTGCTATATATTCCTTCGAGGTATTTCTGCCTACTTTCACAAGAAACAGAAATGTGGAGTTTGATATTCCAATAGCAACTAGACGATCTAAGAGCAGCCCGTGATCAACCGTGATCAACCTTGTCAAAGGCTTTTTCACAGTCTGTATATATCACATCCAGTTGTTTTTTTTTTTATTTATGCATCACTGCAATATGAACAAGAAATCTCCAATTCCACGTTTCATGGTCCAAAATATTCATTATTCAAATGAAAACTATGGTGTAGTTCTTATTGTCATATCTGGAAATCTCAGGGATCGATTTTTATTTCTAGAAGAACTGTTTTTGTGTTCAAAAATCATACGTTCAGCAAAATTCGAGTTTTTCTCAACACTCAGAAGAAAGAATATACTATTCTCCAACATTTCGACAATGATCGCAAGCATAATCACTGAAAAAGATGGTTCAGAATTGATATACCACGTGCTTATTCAGCTTTCATGAGATCGTTACGATGTGATCATAGGGGAATATAAATTTACGAATATATCTATGAAAATTCTAGTAATGATTGAATCATTCAATTCTCTTTATATCCCTCAGGGTCACACGATGTCTATTTCCCATGAAGCCTAATTTCCACGATACTAAATTCTCACGATGTCGAATTCACACAATGCCCGCAATTGCCAAGAAACTCAATTTCCACCATGCCTAATTCCAACAATATCTCACTGACCTGTAAGTAAATTCTCCTAGATGATTAGCAGTGAGGTGGATTAGTACTTCGACGACACTACCAGCTTCATAGGTTCCTGCAATGATGCCGACTCCATATTTTCCTGTGTTCTCATTATCCTGAGGATGAGGGTCAGTGTAGGAATCTCCGCAAACGCCACACTTACCTCCATTGATGCCGTTTTGTACCTAGAAGGAATCAGAACGATTCATCATTATAATATCAATACTAGGAACAAGCTTATGATAATCCAACCTCATAGAAAAGAATAATTCGTTTGAAACTCTTATATTCAAGGATCAAAAAAGATAATGAAATCTCATAAGATGATCTCATTAAATGAAATAGTAAATCACAGCTAGTTTGGAGAGTGACATAATTTGTGCAAAGTGGCGAGTGCGTCATGAGCGTATGAACTGTACTTTCCAATGAGTTTTGAACATGAGACCTCATAATCATAGTAATTCTCGATTATACAGAAGTGATATGTCTTCGAATGTTTGTATACAGGGTGAAAGTAATTCAAGCTCAAGCATGAGGATCTCGGTTATCGTGTGTAGTTAATCGTCGAAATCAGAAAAAAATGGAGTATCCAGAAATATAAAAATCAATATAACGTCAATCATTAGAATGGAGATTACTATCGTTTGTTCCTTTCTTCGTATGTTAAAAAAATGTTATATCATTTTCGAATTCTTCGCAAAAAACTGCTCAGAGAATGTTCCGATGATAATTCGATCACTTGATCGGTTTTCCTATGAAAAAATATAACAAAAATATAAAAATGCTGTTTTTCTGAGATATTTCGGAAACCAAGTGAGATTGGTCAGATTTCGCGAAGACTGGAACCTTTGGCACGATAGACACTACACACTCTTTCACCACTAGCCAAACCGATTTTTCACACGTCGTTTCAATCTTCTTCTGAAGATGATAACATAGTTAGCGAAACACGTGTCGTGGTGTGGAAAATCGGTTTGGTCAATGGTAAAACAGTGTGTAGTGTTGGTCAAATTTGTTTTCGAATAATCCACACACAATTCAAAACTTTGCCCTAATTTCAGCAACATCTCATAACTCGAGTTGAACAAAATCCCAATGGTTGAGCTGGAATCGCAGGCACCTTGTATGTCACATCAATTAATTCGATGAAAAGACAATGTTTTGGTTGACACAAATAAATTATCGTTATTTGACAAAATTCTCCTTCTTGAATACGGGAGTCTATCAAAATTTCATCCATTATCTGTTGTTACCAGTTACCATAAAACCCTACATACAGTGTGTCAACTCTCTTATCTCCGAAGTTGTTGAAAAAATTGGAAATTTCTCGGACAGGTTAATTCTAATTTGGCAAGGAACACTTGTTGAAACACCTTGTATTTTATTTCATGATTGGTTAGTGATTATGATGACAAATCCAACGAAACCTAGTTTGATGGGGTTTCCTCAAACGTATACCGAGATATAGCTGATTGTACCATCTGTTTTTCGGAACGGATCTAATTTTTTTTTCTAATATTCGAATCGTTCTGATGTATACTTTTTTTCAAATGACTTTGTATGAAGACATTTTTTCGAAATAAAATATACTATCGATTCCTGAAATATCATCGAAGCTATTCCAAATGCCCCAATATAGTTAAATCGTTCCTTATTTTATCATAACCTCTCTATCTGATGAATAGGAGAATATATGAGGGAAAGATGATGGTATACTTACCCAATTTCCTCCACACCAATTTTGATTGTCATTGAAATTGCTGGGTGCTGAAGAATTGAATCTCCATAAGGAACTCCTGTTTGGTGGATCTAACATCATGCCATGCCCAGCTATGTTACTGACGAACATACTAAGTAGAACGAAACACAATTTTGACATCATATTGATGGAGTTATTATTCAGCAGATCGAAAGAGACAATTTATCTCAGTACGTTGTAAAATAAAAAACGTCTTTTATATAGTTATTGAGTTATTGATTCATTGATAGATTAGATTATCTATGATAGGATGTTCTGATTTATTTTGTTATTACTATATTATGATGAGTAGGTATTTCAGATATGAGATTATCCAACAATGTATACCTGATGACTATCGAAAATAATATCCCAGTTAAATTCATAATTCATTCAATCTTCTTAATTTCTGCACGAATTATAATATTTAGTAGACTGACAAATATTTTTGTAAAGCATTTCAAATCCGATAAAATACGAACTCCTTCAACTGAGAATTTTCTGATAGATGAGTGAGAGAAACCCTGAACCTAAAATGAAGCTATCAGCGCAACAATGCCCTAAATTTCAGATGATCTGTTTATACCAAAAAAAATTGTAACAAGATGGCAGCTACATATGCAGTCATTCATTGCAATATTTTGATGGATAAGTAATTGCGACATCGGCCTTACCCGCATTTTCTGTGTCTCTCTATACGTCTTCTCAGTAAGGAAACGAATAATTTGCATTGTTTGCAAGACAAAAAAGTTTGTTTTCAAGTGTTTTCTAGTCTTATTTCAAATAGTTTGGTATCTTGAGGTAGACACTGTTTTATCACATTTTTCAATCATGGGCAGGGGGCGACAGTGTCTAGCGAAGAGAAGGAACAAGAAAGCCGAGTTACATTTTCATGTTGAGAACGGGAGCAGATTCGTTTCTGAAACGTCCAAAGGTGAGTGAAAATTTGATATTTTTTCTAAATACCTTTATTCCTCTTCTCCAAACCTTTTTCAATACAAATTGTCACTGACAAGCTGGTGAATTTTCCTTTTAGGCTCTCTGATAGAAAAATTCTGTGAACGCAGTGACATTTTGGGGCGAATCAGCTGATTTGTCCTTACCACACGTATATTGAAATAATATTCATATTTTTATTTTATAGAAACCAGGAGAGAAAATCCCAAAAAAATTGGAATAATGAATGTACCACCTGCTCGGTTAATCTACAGACAGTATCTAATTTGAAGGAAAAAGTGTCAAAAGAAGAGAGTAACTGGAAGCGGAATGAGGCCAGAATCTATCTAAATTCTAGTTAAGAGCCAAAGGCTTTTCAAGAAGTAAGTAAATGTTGTGAGTCCAACTGTCGCGAAACAAATCCACCTCAACGTGAACAAGCTATTTTCACATTTTTTAAAAATTTTTGAATCGTGTTTTTCGAGTCGGTCAATATTTCAAAGAAATTCATCTATGAACTACCAAACTCAAGACCTTGTATTCAAAAGGCAAAACCATCGACGTCAAAAGAAACACTTCTGGAGTTGATCCCCTTATCAGAAAATGAGGATGTCAAAGGACGCATCAGAAGAAATATTTTCAGAGTAAGATGACAAAAACTATAGTTATCCATAGTCAGATGAAAGGATCAAAACTCTCAATTGATATGTTCAAATTATATTATAGCAAACTTAACCCACACAACAAAATTTTCTTGATCAGATTTTCAAATCAACAGTGACCCAACCAAATTTTTTTTCCAAAAGACATATAAAAAAATTCAAATTTGGTTCTTTCATTGGAGCTTCATTTATCATTTGTGATTATGTAGTGGGGAAATAAAAACTTCAAATTTACACATCCCAAAATAATTCAGTATCTCGTTCAATAATCTTTGGCCATTTATCTCGAAACTGAAGAAATTGGCTTGGGTCATTGTTGTGCTGAAAGCCTCAAATAATGTAACAATTTTTTTCTCAACCGTTTATGATAAAACAATGAAGTACATTGTTTGGCTCCAGTCCCATTTTCTAGCCTGAATGAACAAAGATTTCATCATGTCATCAATGTTATGAAGAATTATACAATTAATTACGTCTCCCATGGAATATGTCTCAAGCAATGAATATTCTTCTAATGGCAGCTACATCTACATTCAGTACTTCCATGAAGTACCTACTGAATAAATTCATTCATTATTAAAATTTCCATTTCTGAGATTTCCAGAAACAGGTCTATTTTCAATCTCAATTCACCACATTTGAACTGATGATAAGAATATCGATGCTCAATCATTTAATATACAGAGACTTTGGTTCACTGGCGAATATCTGATAGGGGGAGAAAGGTAAGAACATTTGTGTAATTCATACTATCGTGTTACGCATCGTGAGATATCATCGTCGATATCGACCTATCATCAGATTGTATCTTCTTCTTGAAACATTTAATACGTATTTTATTGATCTTGAATACGTTATGATCTAAATGTGATAGAAGTATGTTTTGTCTCGTTAGAATTGAAAACACGATTCTTCGTACTTCGAAATCATAAGCGATGATTTTTTGAGAAGTGTAACACTTTGTATGATAGTAGTGTTGTTATGGTTGATTATTTTCAATTGAGCAATCAATCAATATATATGCTCTACTGCCATAAATACATTCGTATTTGTTGACAAAGCTCGTACATGTTCATATCCAAATGAAACATAATGAATAATATGCGATTCAAAGTGTGAAGCTTTCTGAAACACATTTGGAAATATACAATCATATGTTCGTATAAAGCGTTAGTTAAAAATCAATAATAAAAAACAACAAAAATAGACAATAATTAAACATATGAAATATTATAATGAAAATCACATGTGAGAGCTCCTATAAAGCCATATCCAAATATTTATAGAGTATATGTTGTATAAAAAGATCCTTTCAAGAACTAATCAAGAAAGAAAAGGATACCTGATTTTATAGTCTCTGTGAAAAATATTCCTCGTATATAGTGGAGTCTGAACTAGCAATATTTTCACCTTGGTCCGGAATTTTTTGTTACACGGAATTTCTCTGATATGATTTGACAAATGATTGAATATCTTCATTCCATTATGAATAATTGAGCCATTGATCATGATGGTACGTAGTGTTTTGTGTTGTGTTGTAATGTGATGAAACCAGCTCTAAAGAAGCTATGTTTTTCTGTATCAGAGCCGTTGTTTCCAAGATGCATAAGCCAACTACTGTCAGGATGCCGCCATTATTGAATGAATGTCTACATGAGTCCCTTGATTTCGCTCCACACATATATCTTAGGGCCCGTTTCTGTAAGACAAAACTCCTCCGGAATAGCTGATCACTGCAGACTCCCCAGAATGCAATTCCGTATCTCAAATGAGATTCCATGAGGGCAAAGTATGTAGCTCTAGCAGAAACAAATCCTAATTCTGCAGCAATAGTTCTAACAGCGAAGCATCTAGAGGCTAAGTTTCTCCACATAAATGTTACATGTTCATTGCATATCAGTCTTTTGTCAATGTATAAACCTAAAAACTTGGTCGATGATTTATTTTCTATTTTTTTACTTCTCATACCCAAATTTGGATCAGATTTTATTGTAATGAAAGAATAAGTCATTCGATTCCTTCATATTGAGCGATAGTAGATTTGAATCACACTAGTCTTTGATTACTTCAATATCGTGCATAACAGTTGTTCGCAGTACAGCTCCACTCATTTCTTTCCAGAGGATAGTGGTGTCATCAGCAAATAAAGTGATTTTACCTTTAATGTCTGAAAGAACTATGTCATTCACATACAGTGAAAATAGCAGTGGTCCAAGAACTGATCCTTGCGGTACACCATGTTTGATTTGTGCGGTCTTTGAGACCCTGCATGTTTTGACAGATTGTTGACGACCTGTAAGGTTAGTCTCAAACCATCGGAGCCGACTATCAGTAAAACCGTATGGATCGCAGTACCAACCACATCCTTATAGATATACCTCGGTGAACCAAACACATACACATCAAATTTAAATTTCATGTTATTTCTGTTGTTGAATCATTTTGCCATACCTCATACATACAATAAAGCCAAATGTTTCGCAACATTCGCCTACGGCTCATATACTCGTGGAAATGACGCTCATTCCTTGGTCGCTAAACAATCGGTATAATATTTGAGCAGAGATTGCCAAGAAATGAGAAGAAAAAACGTTAGAGTTGACCGTATTGCTAGCCAAATACTAATCAAGTTATAATGAAATAATTTTATCCGTCCTATTCGCACAAGTTCCCAATATTTTTTTAAGGTATCTCACCCAATACTTCATGTTTGCGGGTATATAACATTGCTTTATATCATTAATTTACATTGATAAGACCATGCAGGATATTACAAATCATTTCGGATTTTCCTATCATACATACCTGAATGGGAAAATGACAATCTCGAATCTCATCTCAATTCATTCAATATTTTCGGTTCAAAGAACTATGAAAATTCAGTGCAAAATAATAATGATAAGTAACGAGATTATTTCATTATCTTGCCAATAATTCTCATTAAATCATCTTTTTATAGAAAGAATGAAATACTAGGCAGATGTATATCTAATATTGATTATTATACAGGGTATATCTTCATGAGTAAACGCGATCAACATATTGATACGAACTTCACTACTTTTTATTTATTTTCATAAATAAAAATAAGTAAAGCAAGTCTCATAACTGGCTCCGGCAACTCTTGGGTCTGGTGAGCAAAAGCCTAGAGTTTTGACTTTGTTAGGTGGCTAGTTAGGCGCCACTTAGTTTGTTTTTTTTTTTCAAGTGAAAAACTAAGAAAAGTTATATCTTGATGTTAAAACAAAATATGTCATAGAAATTTAATTTTATCCTGAAATATAGTTATCAGAAATAATAAAAGCACACTTGTGGTCTCAGGTTTTGTTTAATAAGAATTAAAATTGTGATCAGCAAAATACACCATTTTTCATTTTTCACAGTAGGGTGACTTGAACCTCACCAAATGGAGCAAACAATTGTTAATATGATAATATACTGTTTAATGTATTAGCTTCCCGTTATAGGCCTATACCGAAGCTCACATGAAATTTATATCCACTCAGTAATTCTTACATAATCAGACAACAAAAATAATTATACCAAGGGTTGGAGTATATGGTGCTTCTTATGAATTAACTCAATAGGACAGGTTTATATATTGAATTTGAGGT